GTAGCAGATTAGTACATTAAAAAATTAATAAAATATGAAAAAAGGCTTACATGATTTCTAATTCTTGTAACGAATTAAAACATTGAAACATAAATAGAACATCAAAAAAGCTTTTAACATTTCCTGTTCTAATAGCGGGTAAATACAACAAAACAAAAGGTTTATATAATTTCCAATTCTCGTAGCGGGTTTGTATATTAAAATATCAATACAATATAAAAAAGGCGTATATATCAAAAAAGCTTATATTACTTCCGATTCCCGTATCGGTTTGCTACATTAAAACATCAATGAAACATCAAAAGGCTTATATAATTTATAATTCGTGTAACGGTATAATACATTAAGACATCAAAAAGACGCCGATTCTTGGAGCGTGCAGGTACGATAAAACATCAATAAAACACTAAAAAGGCTCTTAACATTAACAATTCTTGTAGCTTGCTAGTACATTAAAGCATCAATAAATTTAAGAGTGGCTTTTATCATTTATATTTGCAGTAGCGAAATATTACACTAAAACATCAGTAAAACATCAAAAAGTCTTTTAATATAAGCAATTCTTGTAGCGGGCTAGTATATTAAAACATCAATACAATATCAAAATGGCTTTTATAATTTATAATTCCCGTAACGGGGTTAATACATTAAAGCATCAAAAAGACTCATATCATTAGCAATTCCTGGAGCATGCTGGTACAATCAAATATCATAAAATTTAAGAATGGCTTATAGTAATTATAATTGCTGTAGCTGATTATTACATTACATCAATAGCAATAGACATTAAAAAGGCTGATAACATTAGCAATCCTTGTAGCGGGCTAGTACATTGAAACATCAATACAATATCAAAGAGGCTGTGTCATTTCTGATTCCGTGAGCAGTTAGTACACACCTTAAAAATATCTCAATACAAATTTAAGACGCTACGACGTTCCAAAATTGTCTGACGTTTTAAGTGTCTTTCATGGTGTAGTTAAACTGTTTTACTATTAATGTTTTAGCTGTATATTTTTCGTTCTGTATTCCACGTTCCAATTTAGAATAAATTTTCCAAAGAAAACGAGGGAAAAATTTATTTAAGAACTTGGTTACGTACAAACTTTTCAAAATTCAATCATGAACGAAAAACCCTATTCGAAAAAGATGAAGTTTCACTTTATGATGTTAAGGAATAAGATTTTAAATTCGTCACTGGTGATTCTGTAGACAGTATTATCTGATACACAATGTTAATTCGGTAAAAAACAAAATTTCACTATTACAGTATGGCATAATACTAGATTATGGATAAGTTCATTTCATGATCATATATCTAAGTTCATTTCATGTGCAATAGCATTATAATATTGATTAAAGAAAAAGTCTAAAAATAGTTTTAAAAAATCAAACTGAAAGATAATTCTATAATAACTATAACTTGCGAATGTTAAGGAAGTCAAACACTTTTTTCACGTATAAATTTTTATCATTCAAAAACAATTAACACATTCGAAGCATTTTGTTTATTTTACGTTTGTTATATTAAATTCGAAACAGTTAAAAATAAAATAAGCCTACTTATATTATTTTATTAACAAAGTTCTTGCGTGACTGATGGTGCATATGTTTTTGGGATGTATAAACGAATTTCTTCTTCCTACCTTTAAGAAAATGGTTCGATTGAAATTTCTGACATAAAAGGTACTGAGACAGGGGGTTATATTGCTAATCAATAATTATTAAATCATAAATGGACTATTTAGAAGGCTTCTCACTTTATTTTTCATCAAATTTTTTTCTTCCTGGGAGTAAAAAAAAGATGAATTTCATCATGAGGATTTAAATAAAACGAAATAGTTCCGTTTCGTTCCGATAAATTAAGATAATGATTAATTTTTTTGTATCAAAAAGTCAGTTTAATCAAATTTCATACACACCAGAACAGTTAAATCCTATTAAGCTGAGTTCTCAATTGTTGTAGCATTCAATTGTTGAATTGTTGTCTCAATTGTTGTATACAGTATAAGCCTCACTTGCATGGAACGAAATTTTTAATGGGTACAAGCCACCTGAGAAATATTTCTCAGCCATTAGTAGTACAGTTTAAATGACCTGAAAACTGACCTGTTCAATAGTCGAAAATTGATATGGCCCTACTACATCGTACTAAGCTTCATTTTAGGATTGCACACGAACGATGTACATATTACACAACTGCTCAACGTCTTAAGCAAAGTATCATTGAGAGTTCCAGAAATAGTCTAAAACAAGTGGAACATAAAATAATAAGATGCTAAATATTTAAGTATAATTCATTTAACTAGTGGGCTACGTCCCCTGCTCGCTAACGCTCGCCAACCCCCGAAAATTGCTACGCAATCTTACATGGTTCGCTTCGCTCGCTACTAACTTAGGTACATTGCAAATTGCACAAAATTCTAAGAATTCAAAACAATCATTCAAATCCATATAACAACTTTTTTTTAAAAAAAAAGATTACATCTTTTTAGCAAATACTAAGTCATTAAAATAAATTTGAATTCAAATAAATGACATGTAATTCGTTAAACCCATTAGAATTGTGCTATAGTATGAAATCTTAAAGCGTAACAGCACGACTGAGACTCATTTTTCAATGAATAACTAATGACAATAATAAAACAAATAAATTCGTGATATAAATCAAAAATTGTCAAATAAATTCGTAATATATAAACTCGTGAAAAAAAGCGCTTTCGACAAAATACTAAAATAGAGATCTATCGACAAAGACTACTCACTTCTGCCTAGCTTAATAGTATGAGATTGATAGGGTGAATTTCGGAAGAGATCAGATTTGGTGAGATAGCTCTCTCTGGTTATTTCGGTTTCCGTTTTTAAAAGCGCTATATGTTGAGCCACATCAGCTAGATTCGGCATGTGGCATTTTTAGCGGCAATCATTGGTCGATTTTCTAGTGTTGCCATTCGAGGAGTTGTAATTTTTTGTCGCCGTGTAAGAGAAATATCTATATATATATTTCTCTTACACGGCACCAAAAAAAGCCGCATTACAACTCCCCGAATGGCAACGTTAGAAAATCGACCAATGATTGCTGCTAAAAATGTCACATGGCGAATGTCACATGAGGTGGCTCAACATATAGCGCTTTTAAAAACTGAAACATTAACCAAAGTGAGCATTATCAGGTTGTTCATTTCAGATTCATGCCCTAAAAACATGATAATATTTAATTTATACTGGCTCAACATATAGCGCTTTTAAAAATGGAAACAATAACCAGAGTGAGCATTATCAGGTTGTTCAATTCAGATTCATGCCCTAAAAACATGATAATATTTAATTTAAACTGGCTCAACATATAGCGCTTTTAAAAA